GGCAGGGCCCCCGGTGCTGCCGGGGAGAGGGGAGGAGGATTCTCTCGGGGGATTCTCTCTCGCCGGGGAAGCTTCTGCTGCTTGTGGCAAGGTGGTGCCCTTGTCGAGTGCGGCTCGGCTGGTATAGGAGGCGTGGAGGGACAGAGGGGGCTTCAGCTGCAAAAGAAATACCTTGTTGAGCCTCCCGACACCTGAAATGTAACTTCTGCGAGGTCTCTGCTACAAACGCTCTGTCGAGTAGGATGGCAAATGACTTGTGAGTCACAGTGCCTTTGTAAGTCCGTTTGAGACCCGCACTAGCAGTCCATAAATAAGTAGGCTCAGTGGTTACAATGATGTTTTTTAACCAATTTACTGTGGTGGCAGGAAGGAGGGTTTCCTAGACTCAAAATGCAATTAACAGAGTCTGTGGCAAAGCAAGGGGAATCATGTCATTGGTATCCCTGCTGCTGAGTGTAGCAATGTTTGTCACTTGGTTTTTGCTTTGAGATGTATGGAATTCTTTTTTTTAATGTGAGAAGAGCAAGAAATAAATTTCTTTTGCAAATATAAAAAAACTTTAAAAAAATGGTGGGAATAGCATTTCAGATTCAAAATAACAATATTGCCATTTCTGTTGTCAGCTACTGAGAGAAGGCTCCTGTGATACTTCAATTTGCAGGTTATGCCTGGTTATTGCTCTGCAGTTTGGGGACTTGCACAGGATTCCTCTTTGTGAGCAGCAGTCACTGGAAATAAGTTGGTATTCTGAGATCTAAATCTTTAGGATATCAACTGTCTGCACAAAAGAAATAAGAAAAGTATCTCAAAAGTTGTGTTCTATTTATGTGGATTGCTGTAGCTGTTTGGTTAATTGCTATCCACTGGTCCCACAGACTACTGTCACTAGAGATTCACACTGCACAATGACAAAGGGAGAAAAAACAACAGCTCAAAGTGCTATTTCTTGAGCTTCCAGAGACCTCCTAAAACTCATTGCACAGGTTCCAATGATGGTATAGAAACTATTAGATTAATTACAAGAGAATAATTGTTTTTACTTGACTTGAAGTCATTAATTGTATTTCTACTTTAAAATTAATTGCTTTTTCCGTATGTGATGAACTAATTCAGAAACTCCCTGCTTTTATGCTTTCTCTTCCAGAAGAGACTTTACTCACTGAAAGTAGCTCCTAAAGTCAGAACCTCAGCAGCTGCAGACCGAGTGAAATTATCTCCAGAGTCTGAGGATCTTGAGGTCAGTATGGTTACTGGTATTTTTTTTCCCTCTCCCCTTTATTTTTTAAAACTCGGTTGAACCAGAACCATGAAGTACTTCTAGTGGATGGCAAACCAATTTTTTTTCTTATTATTACAGATTACAAAGTTGCCAAATGGCTTAATTATTGCATCTCTGGAAAATTTTTCTCCTGCTTCAAGAATTGGTGTGTTTATTAAAGCAGGCAGCAGATATGAAACTGCCACTAACTTGGGAACTGCTCACTTGCTTCGCCTTGCATCTACTTTGGTAGGTGTTTGCTCTCTTTGTTCCTATGTTGGCAGTAGGTGAAGTGGCCATAAGACGACATGAGCTTGACCCACTGTGGCTGTTCCCCTTGTTCCTGTTTATCTCTGTTGCTGTCTGGCTCTGGCTCAGATGTAAACACAGCCTGTCTGGCACAGCAGCCAGGCTGAGATCATTAGATCTACACGGCCCCCTGACATGGCTTTGACTGCTGTTGGGTGGGTTCAGTCCACATCAGTTTGGTGCAGGAAAACAAGCCAAATCCCGGGTGCTTATGGTCTCCTTCCTAACTGCTGCCCACAGGTACTCCAGACAGCTGTTAGCATAATGGTATGTGCAGGCATTCCTTGCCCTGGTTTTGTCAAGTTTATGTATTTCAGAGAATTCTATTAAATGTTCAAGCAAACCTGCATCATTATAGAGTGGTGCTGGGGAGTAAATACTTGAGCAAGTAAACTGGCTCAGCTTTTCAAAATGTCTTCTGTATAAATACAAAAACAGATACTGTTTCAATTTTGCCTGAGCAATGAATAACCTCAGGCAAATATCTTCTGAAAATACTAGATTTTTAATTTATTTTTAATTTTTTTTTTTAATAGACTACTAAAGGAGCATCTTCTTTCCGTATTACTCGTGGCATTGAAGCTGTTGGGGGTAGCCTAAGGTTTGTAACTATATATAATCTGTTTTAATAAAATGCAAACAAGCTATGTGATTAAAGGAATCTTAAAACAGTAAGTTTGTTAATATGTAAGTGGATAAGCTTGGTGTGGTAAGGATACTTGAATGGTGAACGTTGACAAGGAACATCTTTTGTACTTCTTACTGTCTAGAGTGTGACCATGATTTGTATTTTAAAAAACATCTTTCAGTTAAAATGTGGATGTTGTGTACCTGGAAGAAATACAATTTGTCAGGAAAGCTTAATGTTCTTTCTGCCTTTTCAGGCTTCAAGATTAAACTTCCTGAAGTCAGTAGATGCATTTTTTTTTTTTAGTCCCATCTTTTGTGAATATATACCACGCATCATACTGCAGTTTTGGGAGCAATTCAAACAGTAGTTGCTTTCATGATTTGTGAGTTTAAGCCTAGAAAAGAAGCCAAAGAGAGAGAAAAGAGGGATCTCGCTGTGCCTGCTTTCTTGCACTGTATCTTGAAATAATCCAGTAAGATTGTTTTGTATATAATTTGTTTAAAAGCAGTTGTTTATACACCTTGAGACTACCCTTTTTTAGAGTGTGACCATGATTTGTATTTTAAAAAACATCTTTCAGTTAAAATGTGGATGTTGTGTACCTGGAAGAAATACAATTTGTCAGGAAAGCTTAATGTTCTTTCTGCCTTTTCAGGCTTCAAGATTAAACTTCCTGAAGTCAGTAGATGCATTTTTTTTTTTAGTCCATCTTTTGTGAATATATACCACGCATCATACTGCAGTTTTGGGAGCAATTCAAACAGTAGTTGCTTTCATGATTTGTGAGTTTAAGCCTAGAAAAGAAGCCAAAGAGAGAGAAAAGAGGGATCTCGCTGTGCCTGCTTTCTTGCACTGTATCTTGAAATAATCCAGTAAGATTGTTTTGTATATAATTTGTTTAAAAGCAGTTGTTTATACACCTTGAGACTACCCTTTTTTGTGCCTGTTTATCACAAATGTTTTTGTGGAAAACACCGCCTTTGTTTTCTCCTGAAGAGAATAATTTCTAAATTGCCTTGTTCAATACATATGCACATTTTTCTTCAAGATTTGCTAATCATCCTTATTTGGTTTTTTACTTGGAATTATCATGGTATCTTAAATTCTGATGGTCACAAGACACTTGCTATTACTTGAATACATAAGATACTAATTTTAGTTTAGTCTACCTCTCCTATGTATTATCCTTTAAACAGTCCTCTCAAGCAGATTTAAGGTTAACCAGATATTCTAGTCAGTATCTTGCTGACAAATTAAATCAATGGGGAATATGTGTGAAAATGCCATTCTGTTTTCTCTGCTGAAATGGGTTTTGTGTTTTTTTTTCTCATTTAGTGTATACTCAACAAGAGAGAAAATGACTTATTCTGTTGAATGCCTGCGTGACTACGTGTAGGTATCTAGATGCTGTAAAGTGAATCACTGCATTCTTTACAAACTGCTCTTGTCACTTTATGGGGTAGTAATAATACCTATTTTCATGTTGTTATAATAAATCAAGGTATTACTGTATTAATATTCAACTTCTGTAGCATGTTACTGAGTGTAGAAATGCTATGGAACTGAAGTTGAATTCTACTTTGTACAACAGTGCTAACAACTACTCTGGCTCAAATTATATACCTTGTTGTTAATGTGTTACTTACAGATTAGTTTGAATTGCTTTTGACTTCAAAAGAAATATATGCTACTTCTGCTGTGTTTAATGCCTTTGTAACTTTTTTATCCAGTGACACAGTAATGGAGTACCTTCTTAATGTCACCACAGCACCAGAGTTCAGGCCATGGGAAGTAACTGATCTTCAGCCACAACTAAAAGTTGACAAAGCAATTGCATTTCAGAATCCTCAAGTTGGTAAGTTTATTTTCTGATACACTGTATTGGCTTAATGAGTGTTTCTTCAAAACGAAAAACACTGAAAAAAATAGTTTCACTTTTGCTCTTTCACATGACCATTGCATTTTTCAGCTTTGCCCTGTTAGATATTGTCTTCCTGTTGTTACAGAACCTCTTTTTATTAGTATTTTGTTTCATTCATAATCTCCATTGAAGTGGCTCTTATGTTAATCATCATCACTGAAATTTGTTCCTCTTAGGAGTGCTGGAAAACTTGCATGCTGCAGCTTATAAGAATGCTTTGGCAAACTCCTTGTATTGTCCAGATTACAAAGTTGGAAAAATTACTTCTGAGCAGGTAGGATTATTTGTGTTGTGTTAAAAATGTGTTTCTGTTATCAAGAATAGATGATGCTTGACAGAGAAAATTAATTCAGTAAATATACAGTCAGTATTTGCTATTGTATTAGTTTGGTGGTAAAATAATTTATTTCCATGCAGCTTTTAGTATTGGATACAGACTGACTTTCACATTTAGAGAGGTGGTTAATGTCAGTGGCTTCTGTTGATAGGAAGGCTGACAATGAAATGCAAGTATTCTTGTAACAAAGTTTTGTAGTTGTGGCTGGAGAATGTAAAATGCTGTTCCGTAGGCAGTTCCTTTTGAAACATTGGAATTGGCTGCATTGAGAAGTGTAAGGCTGAGCACGGGGAGATCAGAAACATGTTTGCCTTTTTTGTTCTTTATACAAAATATCCTAAAATGTGAATTTACTGTTGCAGCTTCACCATTTTGTACAAAACAATTTCACCAGTTCGAGAATGGCTCTTGTAGGAATCGGTATGTATGTTCTTTAAAGGACACTGCAATGCATCAAGGAAAAGTACTGTAGAGATTGGAGTTCTCCATAGAAGTATAATGTCACAGCACACTTGACACACTTATGTAACTTCTGTAGCTTTTCAGTGCCATTACATTACTTGGAATAAACTCTTGTACCACAGGTGTAAAGCACTCTGACTTAAAGCAAGTTGCAGAGCACTTCCTAAATATCCGCAGTGGAGCTGGTATTTCCAGTGCCAAGGCTGTCTATCGAGGGGGTGAGTATGTTTCTTGCATCTGTTCTGAATTACTGATTTTTCTCATTATTATAAATGTAGCATTACTCAAAGTTGCAACTGAACACTATATAGTTGTTCTAAATGTTGTACGTAGGAAATGACAGTTCAGAGGCATCTCCCAGCTAAATAAGCAGAAGATTATTCCCTGCTATGGAAAGTTCTGGAGGAAAACTGAACCCCTGTCTCCAGCAAAGCTTTACCTGCAAAATAATTTATTCCATAAAGTGAAAAATGACCTGGCATGTGGTTTCTCTTTGCATTTTTGGGAAGATTCCCTTAAGAATAGATCAAGGACTGTCTAGTAGGCTTTCTTTTTAGGGAAGACATGTTAGTGTGTCCTAAGTCTTTCAGAAAGACAAAGCAATGCTTCACTCTTCTGGAGCAGTATCTTGCACTAACATCAACAGCTACTCATTAGTTGGGGTATCAGATCACACTGTAAACAGGTGGGAAAAAATGGAAAGTTTTCAGCATCTAATATTTTACTGGAATAACTTCAGTTTCTGTAAAACAGATTAAATATTCTTATGAACAGAAGGTACAGTACTTTTCTGTTAATTTATTATCTGAAGATTCACTGAGTTTTATCATCTCACAGTATGTGTGGTGTAGGATCAGGTTCAAGTAAAGCATAGTAAGGTATTTGGTTTTGTGCTTACAAGAAAATTTTTCTAAGTTTGAAAGACGTTTTTTAAATGCTTTTTTCAAAGGGCTATGTATAGCATCTTAAATATATAGTATACTTATATATATTTCTTTTTAATAAGACAGGATTAACCTCTGAAGACTACAAGTATAAAGGGGGCTAATTATTAGGAAGCTACGGTATGATCTGCAGCCTACTAACAGACATGCAGTAACTTCACACCCTGGCTTCTCTCTCATGAAACTTAACTCCAGGCTAGAAATGTTTCCTTTCTGTACCTCTGAACATACAGTAGTTTCTAACTGGATGCTCCATTACCTTTTATTTTTTAGGAGAAATCAGAGAACAGAACGGTGATAGCCTCGTCCATGCTGCTATTGTAACAGAAGGAGCTGCTGTTGGGAGTGCAGAAGCAAATGCGTTCAGTGTTCTTCAGCATGTTTTAGGTGCTGGACCCCTCATCAAGAGGGGAAGCAATGCCACCAGCAAACTGTTCCAGGGTATTGCTAAAGCAACTACCCAGCCATTTGATGTAAGTTCAAAGGGTTACTTTACTGTAATATTTTCAGTAAAATGCATACTGTTCTTTAAGAGGCTGCTGTCTCCAGTCAGTATCTTAGTTCTTTCTTGCACAAGTTACAGTATTTCCTTACAGTCTGATTTTTCCTCTGCACAGATGGAGCTCCCTGATTACAGTATTTTAGATCCTAATAATAATAATTTTCCTATGCTTGATACTGAGTTCTGATACTTAAAACAGTTTATAATTACGTTTGTTTTGCAGGCTTCTGCATTTAATGTTAATTACTCTGATTCTGGGCTCTTTGGGGTTTACACCATATCCCAGGCTTCAAATGCTGGGGAGGTAAGTTGCTGATGAGAACTTAGTTACTAACAACATAACCCTTAAACAAGTGTTTTGATTAACTGAATAATCTGAAAACAGTCAGTTCCCCTGGTTTCTTGTATAAGAATTCTGCATGTTCAGTTATGACTTAGCTCTGTAAGCTGGGATTGAGACTTGCTTTCTGGGGAGTACAAATGCCTGATACAAACTAGAGCTCGTAAAATGCCTTTAATTGCTGACTGTACTGGCTGATGTGTGTGTAAGCTGAAGTATATCAGGAGGAACATACTGGCCCTTGAAGCTGGCCGAACTGAACAGCCCCATGGAAAAATGGTGAGACCATGCAAAGTAGTGTGGTGATGCCATTTAAATGCACCCTGTTTTTTGTGGTTCGCTTTGGCATTTATTACAGTGGTTTTAGTTTTGTTCTAAAACCGTTAAGCATTGAGTTCAGGCTTAGAATCCTAACACTAAGTTGCTCTCCCCTGTAATTTTTAAGGTGCCAGAAAATAGAAATAATATGTTGACATTTAATGCTGGAAGAAGTCCTAAAAGATTTAATTTTCCTCAGGTCATTAAAGCTGCTTTGAACCAGATGAAGTCAGTTGCTCAGGGCGGTGTCACTGATGACGATGTCACAAAGGCAAAGTAAGTGCATAAAGAACTGTCTTGTGTGTTGTAAGAAGTTTCTTAACAAGCAGCTACTTTTCAGAGGCTTAGCCTGTTCTGCAGAGCAAAGCTTATTGTTGTCCTGTAATTACTTCCTTTAGGGAACTGCTTCCTTTGCTGCCTTAAAACTGAAACACTGTCAATACTCTTTTTTTTCCCCTATCTGTACTGATTCTCTACTAGTGGTATTTCCTAATGCAAACTTGTTAGATAAGTGTTAAGTCTCTGAAAACTGTTTAAATGTAGGAAATTAGCAAGTACCAGCAGATGCTGTAGTTTTAAACATACTCTGTAGTATTAAGATGTATTTAAATAAGAATCCTAAACTGCATTATTTAGGTTATTCCCTTTGTAGTCACACTGCAGCAATTCCCCAAACAATTATATTAAGCAATCTTCTGCACCTTCAAAGAATAGTAGTCATGAAGGTCTGCAAGTGTAAAGCACTGAATTAGTGAAGTTACATCAAAATACATGCCCCTAGGAATACTGGAGGTGGGGGGAAATTACTATTAAAAATGCAGTAATATCAGCAAAATTTTAGAGTTTCTGATTTATAGAGAGTTGTGCACATTAGTTGGTGCTTGATCTGCAAGTACTGTTAAACTTCACTGAGCCTCTAAAACTGTACTTGGGCAATACAATATAGCACAGACTCACTCAAGTAGTAACATTAAAATAATTTTCTGTTGCGTGTATGAAATATTTATGAGACTCCACATAAAGCTTGATTACACTAAACATAACCTAGATGTGGTGGTTGGTTGTGCTTTAGTCACAAAATGCTGAATTCTAGACCTTTATATTTGGCACTGATAGTTTTGTGTGGTGGTGTTTGGGTTTGGGGGGGTTTTTTGTTAGTGGTTTTTTTTGTTGTGGTTTGTTTTTTTTAATGAAGCTGCCTAGTATTGGGGAACTACATGCGGTGCTGCTGTGGCTTAGTTAGTTAGTTAGTTAGTTGGAGTTTCCCTTCTGGAATGGCTTCACATATTTTCTATATTGCCCCATTTTCCTTTAGTGACTAAAAAACCCCCAAAAAACAAATTCAAGGTCAGCGATATTTGTAGAATCTTGCAATTCAGTAAAAAATGCCAAGCTATTTAATCATATTCTATAGCAATAAAGTGTTTTCTGCCATTTTGACTTTTAAAAATGACTTTATAAAAATATGATTTTCATATGTAGCAGTGAGACTGCATGAAACAGAAAAAGAAGTGTAAACAGTGTGTCTTTTAACAGGATAGGGAACTGCTGCACAAGGAGCTTAGCCATTTTACATTCATTGCTGCTTTGTCACAACAAAATTTCTCTGTGTACATCTATTCTTTATGAGAAACTGGAATCAATTTTAAACTGAATTTTTAAACTTGATAGATTAGTTTGTCTAATTCCTGGGGTACCTGCATGAGTTGCTTCACACAAATGAATTCTGATCTAGAGATCTGACTGTGTGGGGTGGCTGATCATTCTGAGGCAGCAGGTGTTCAAGTACACTGTCATTTTCATGCTTGAACTAGTCGTGGTGACTCTTTCCTTACTACAAAACCCTTTTGTACTTGTAAAGGAAAACCTTTACAAATGGAGAGGAATCTTCAGAACTTCAAAAGCACCAAAAATCTTGCAATTAATGGGGCAGTGGGGAAGGTAATAACAGGAGCTACAGGCTCACTCATCCTTAATGCTTTGTTTGATGACAGAAATCAGCTGAAAGCCACATATTTGATGTCAGTGGAGACTGCAGAAGGGTTACTGAATGAAATTGGCTCCGAGTCATTGGTTTCTGGCACACACTCATCACCATCTGCTGTTGCTCAAAAAATCGACTCTGTAACTACTGCTGATGTTGTGAATGTGAGTATGTCTCAGCATCTACAGGTGTTCCTTAGTCTCTGTGTCAGGTTTCTTTACACAAAACTTGTGTTTGTTTGTGTGTGTTTATAAACATACACATAACTAGCTTTTAAAAAAGCAACTTATTTACAAAGCCCAGCTGGCTGTCTTTTGATGCCTTTGCTTACTTTATTAACAGAAGACCCTTTAATTCCATACACTGTAAAACTAGGGTAGCTGGGAGTATGTGAAATTCATATCTACTTCACTTGCATTTACCAAAATTGCCAACTAGTATTCATGGAAAACTTGATACTGGTTCCAGTGCAGGTTCTTCTGTGTCAAGGCTTTTAGGATTCCTGAGTCCAGAATTTGGTGTGCTTAATAAAACAATTAAGCTTTCAATGGTGAGTTGCCATAACTGTATTGCTATTCCAAATGGTCTTGTTGCTTATACTTGAAACAAACTTCATACAGAAATCCATCAGAAAACTTGTTTTTTCACCATTGCTACTCCAACAAAAATTAGTTGTAACTAGCAATAGCTTTAGTAGTAAGGACAGATCCACTATACTTGTGGTGTAAAAGTTATTCTAGGAATAACCATTTTCAGAGTTTCTGCCTTTTATATCCAACTGTCGCTGTTATTTCTGTTTAGATAATAATGAGCTGCGTTATAAGCACATGAAAATTGTTTACTTGATGATGTACTTTAGTAGTGCTGAGGATTTGTTTGTTTTAATAACTTAAGGTGAGGCTATAAGCAGCAAGATAAACTCTGTTGTAGTGAGTATTTCCTTAAATTCATCTTTCCTATTTATTTTTAGGCTGCAAAGAAGTTTGTCAGTGGGAAGAAATCAATGGCAGCTAGTGGAGATTTGGGAAATACTCCTTTTCTTGATGAATTGTAAAACAAAACTGGGATGCAGATTCAAGATGGACCTGAGCTCTAAGTCACCTGTGTTCAAAATAAATTGCTACTAACTTGTTATTTATGAATTCAGTTCTTTCAGAAAATCAATCTGGAGTAATTGCGAGCTTGCACTCATCAAATAAAATGCTGAGTTCATATATTCTGTGTTGATTTTTTTTCCACTGAAAATGTTATCTAAAATGCTGTTAAGTCTGGCTCTGTACACTGAAGAGAAAACTGTAGTGAGAAAGGTGACTTGTAGTCAAAAAGTCAAGCTTTTTGATATATTTAAAAAATAGATACATCAAAAATTATCACTGTGATGCAAACAGTGCAATTGTCACTAGTTGTACGAGTATTATTGTATGTTAGGGTAAGTTCTTTATGAACTGTCTGCACCATCCTTCTATCAATGAAGAAACTTAACTTTAAACAAAGATGTGTATGTTAGACCTTCTTAGAGCTTGCAGCTGCTACTTCTCTGGAACTAGCAGAAGTGTATCTAAATGTCTTCTCCACAAGTAGCATGGAGGGACATCTTTGAGGGGAGAGAGGGCATTGCTAAAACAGCAAATATATAATTTAAAATATCTCAGGCTATTCAGATATTTATTTAAAGTCTAGACATTTATTTAAAAGAAAACATACAACTTCAGAAATTCAGGTTTTGAAGAAGTCAAGTTTTGAGCTATTCTGAAACAAATTCTTCCAGATAGGATGTATCTGATACAGAAGAGCAGGAGGAAGAGCAACTAGTCTCATTGTCTTTGCTAGCCCAGTTGGAAGGAGCTCTAACACCACTAGCATCAAACTTAGGATTGCACAATGCATCAATGTCATTAGGAAGTACAGCATCACAGCCAGTGCTTGTGGCTTCTCTAAGTGTCTGGCCTGTATTAGATACCTGCCAGATTTTGGATATTGATGGTAACTGATGAGTGAACTCACAGCAGTAGGACTGGGAAGGTTTAGACTGCAGTTTCCAGGTCTACATCATCATCGCTACTGGACCTGGTGTCTTCTTCATCCTCATCTTCACCTGTGCTGAAAATACACAGCATTATATTACTTTAATATGCAATAGTTCCCATAGCCATTTATTAACTAATCATGGAGACTTGAAGTTTTTTGTGAATACTTGTTCTAAATACAAGTTAATTAGTTCTGAAGCTCCTCTAATACCTCACTAATACTATTGTCCATAGTTCTTTGCATGGTTTTCTTTGGACTTTAATAGCTAAGTTTTAATTTGGTCAACAGAAAAGCAAGCTATTCTTCTGCTGCTCCTTCAGAATACTAAATAATCTGTTTTATTTAAACATAAGGTTAGAGGTTTAATCACTTGGAAAGCCCCTTGCTGTGTGAGCTTCCGTTCTGCTCTTCTAGCCTAATTATCTCCTTGTAATACTTCTGTTCCTTCTTTACCTCTGAGGTTTCTTTTCTATTAAAACTTTGTGCCTCAGGAAAACTAACTGCCTTCTATCCCCTCTAGATTAATTATACTTGCTATATAAGCCACCTTTAGGATTGAGAACAATATATTTTCAAAAGCTGTATGCAGTGGCTCTCACAAGAAGTGTTTATTTTTTCTGAAGTTTAATTTTAAAAGCCATAATCATGAATCACTGTCAGTAGTTCGACTAGGAAACAGATAAGCTTTCTAAAATGATTGTAGCAAGAATTCCCATCTTGGCATTGCACTTGTAATTGTCTAGATCTTTGGCTATTATTACAAATAGATGTGGCATCTTTGACTCCAGTGGCACTATTGCCAGTCAGGCTTTTTACGGTCTCTGTACATAGGCAGGAAGGGGCATGTCTAAAATTGATGTTTGTCCTGACCCTGTCTTCACTGAAACTAAGTAAAGTAAAAGAAAAGCTCTTTTGGTGTTTGTACATTTCAAACCAGTTTTCTATTTCAGAAAAACAAATTAGATTTTTAGACTAATATCCTAAAGTGAAAAAGCTATTACACTGTATCTTGTTTCTTGTTAGAATAGTAAGTAAGGTGTGAAATTCTGGTCATGAATAATACTTATGTCTTACTCTGCTGCCATCTCAGGAAACTTTACTTCAGGAATTAATTCAAGTGCACTTTGCCAGTGTTGAGGTATTTCAAGAAAATCTCTGTAAACTCTGATTTGTAGAGTATTTCCTATTGGAATACTGTGTAGGAGTTGACTAAGGTCTTGCAGAGTCCATCCTAAAACATTAGCATGTCCAATTTTTATTAGAACATCACCTGCCAAAGAAGAAAATTGACAGTCATCTGTTTAAGACTTTTTTTTCTTAATGTTTGTAGTACAAAATTTGTAGTCTTAACAACTTTACTTCCACTGCATCCATGAAAAACAGAGTACAGAAGTCCCAGCACCTCTGTATGCCATGGGGTATAACAAGGATGAGCTTCAAGGGGTTGAGGAGAGTTGCAATTACAGGGTAAGCCTGCAATTTTGGAGGCTGCAAAAGGCAATCAGAATCAATCTGCAGGAGCCTAGAGCTCTATCAGCAGCAACAGTTGCACAGAGAAGCAGTTATCAGTAAACATTAAACTGCAACAGAACAGCAAAGGGGATTGAGACCAGCAGTACAGCTGTCTGCTGCTATATTAGGCAGAGCAAGGAGCCTCTCCCCATCTGTTCGATTTTCTTCTTAAGCCTTTTGGGTTAAAAATGCGTGTTGCAAAAATTTACAGCCTTTAAAACTGTTTACCTGAACTACTGACTACCATTTTTCTAATTCACCTTTTTCATGAACTACTCCTACTCCATCATCACACCCTCTCTCCACTCTAGCTTATCACAAGGTAAGTCATTCTACCAGTATACAAACAAGAAGTTCTGGAACAAGTAGCACATTAGCAGATACCAAAAAAAGCAACTGAAAACATTTTCCCAACAGTTTTATGTAAGTTCTCAGCCTCAAAAAGAAAGGTAAATCACCCAAATTAGGTGTTCCAAAACATAGACATAAATGCATTTATGCTTTGAAATACCTGCAAGACACTCTGGGCTTTTAATAGATAAATTCTGTTATTTTTTCTGACCATACTGTCCTAATAACACTGTTGTGGTGAGACAAAGCCTCTGTGCTGCAGATACAATTTTGCTCCTCTGCTCCAGCATCTACAATCTGAAACACCCAGCTTTTCAGTTCAGCTACCAGTTTTGTGATTGATACCATTCAGTGGTCACTGAAGATTTATACCTACATACAGATTTGGTAAGTCTAACTGTAGGATTTCAGGACACCAGTACCTCCCACTACCTCTGTCTATTTCTGCTGTGTCCCTGTTGAAATCAGGAGAAAGGCACAAGCTCTTTCAACACATAAGCAGTAATAAAATTGTTCTTTTAGGTTCTGTTTTGCAGTTGTATAGATTACAGCTTATGTAACTGGGGGGGGAAGAGTACATTAAAAAAAAAAAGAGTACATAAAGATATAAATCTTAATTCACTGAAAGAAAAACTAAGCAGTGCATCATTTTCTGAAGCCCCATGCTTCATATGTTGGTATTAGTGCCAAACAAGTGTGCTGCCTTTGGTATAATTCAGAGACAGAGCTTCTACAAAATACTATCTTTTCTGTAAAATTTTATAGCTTTGGTCTTATATAAAAAGTTTGTGTAAGTTCACTCTAAATGTGAATTGAAGAAATTCAGCTGTTTCCTTTTTTTGTGTGTGGAATGTGCTGAGTGAGATCCAGGTGCTCAAATTGAAGCATGTTCAAATTGCTTCTTTTGGCTCCAAAAACTATGATAATCTACAAAGATAAAATGTTTGTTACCAGTCATCACCCCTCTTTAAATTGTTCAGTACTTGTTGCAGTAAATCAAGCACATCACATGCCATAAATACTTTGACTCCTTATCACTTTTACTGAAAATGCTTTTGGAAAACCTTGCCTTTTTCAAATTGTTGCAGATAGAACTACTTAGTTTCAGAGATTAGAATTCTGTATTTTTTAAAATATAGATGTGAAAAAGACCACCCAAATCAGCAACCAAATCACTATCATAGATATGGTTTTGTATACCATAAGGGTTTTTTTTAGGGAATAGATGAATAGGGAATAGAGTAGATGAAAGGTATCAGTTCTTAAGATATTTTTTTTTTAAAAAAAAAAGGTACTTCATTCAAATCAAAATCCTTTTCTGTTCTATCCTCAGGATTTTTCCACTGATTTTTATAGTTGGATCAAAAGTGCAAAACCTTTTATAAAAAGAGGTTAAGAACTCCACACAATGGTTTTTATTTCATCAGACAAGCAGATCTTTCTTCGTAGTGTTTGGAATTCTGATTCTCTCTGAATGGTGCAAGAAGAAAGGACTGCCCAAACTATGAAGGCAACGCTGGAAAAATTGTTCTGATTTAAAGATTTACATTTTAAATACACTGCCAGTAAATTTCTAAATTACTTCATTACACTCAAGTCTTAGTTCCATAGATTTCTATGTTAGAGACAATTTAATATTTGGTAATAGCATACTATCATCCCCAAACTGTAGTTCATTAATGTAATGTAATTAGTCTAGGGACCCATGTGAAACAGGGCTTTCAATTACAAGCTTAATATATGTGTCTGATGTTCCACAAGAAACCTTAATAACTAGTAATTCTGTGAGTACTGATATGGCACGTTTCAGGTTTAAAGCACTCAGCAAACGAACACCTGCATGGATTGCTAGAGCACAGCGATTAGTCCATTGCCACTTCATAACTATTTGGTATAATAAGAGAAACAAAAAGCAAACAATAAGACAAATTTATGTCGAGCCTTGTGGAAGTTCTGTGTTACTTGTACAATGAAATTCCTTGAACAATGGGCTGAAAACAGTAAATAGATTATTTGTGTTTAGTTGCTATATAAATGTAATGGTCAAACTCTTTTTGGACAAACCTGATGATGAATAGTAAATCTGTTTTTTGCTGTATTGGTCCAATTGTGAAACTGTCACCCATATCAGCTATTTTAAGATCACAAGTATTTCAATACAATGGAATGTTGGCATCAAACTCTATACAGTTTGTGCTAGTTTCTTATATCTGTAATTGTAAATTGAGTTTCTTTTGACCTGTGTAAGTGTAAATAAATCAGACAGAGGCTCAAAGCATAAGTGTAGAACAAGAGTTAACAATGCTCTTAAATTTGAATATCACAGTTATTTCTTTTTACCTGGTTTTAGCTTTCCGTCGTTAGCTGCAGAGCTCTTCTCAACAAGGCTTGTTATCTGGAGATATGGTCCATTCTGTATGATTATGAGACCCAATCCTTGTTCACTCATCCTAATATTTGCCTTTAATGCTGCAATCAATGTGTGCTGAGAGACATTTTCCAGTGCTGGCAACTGCCCTTCAAAAAGTGAGAAGAAAATTGTACTAGTTGAAAGCGAGTTATAATTCTTCAATAAAATGTTTAAGGAGACATTTGAGCAGGTGCTGTACCCATTTTTAATTGTCCATACAGTTAAGTCCCTCAGCCTTAATTGCTTCCTCTAGATAGGCATTGCCTGCTGAGCTCCTGTCAAAAAGCCATAATGGCAACACTTATAACAAGTTAGTGTACTTCATAAACTAACTTTCTGCAAATAAATGTACTGAAAGTAGTTTTTACTTAGCAACTTATTTTGTGAAATGTCCCACATTTTACCAAGATAAGAAGCAATACTGCTGTTAAGTATTTATTACAAAGGATGGTATTTTCAGGTAAGGTAGAGAACATGGTACAGAATAACATAACAGAGGAGCTGTCAACGATTCAGGACTTCAAGAAAAGATTGAATTCTTATTCAAAATTGATTTTTCAAATCAATATTTATAGAAGAGATTAATTTCTAAATTTCCAGCAGATTGGTTTCACACCCTACAGCTGATGTGAGGGAAGGGACCGTAGTTGTCATATTTAACATCCACAGAAATAAAATACTCTTGAGGATTTGCTACCCATTGAAATGCATAATACAATACAATATAAATCACATTATCCCAGTGAATCCACCAAGAAATATAACAGGATAATAAAGTAAAACCTCCATCTTTCAAGCCTGTTCTCATCGAGAGCCAGAAAAAGTTATGACTGTCACACCAGTGCTTGAGACTCCTAAAACAAACTGTATTGTTACAAATAACTTTTTTTGTCTCTCTTTTAAGATACAATCTCTAAATGTTGACTTTTGACAGTAGGGTAGCAATAACTGAACTCTTTGAGACCCTCTGTAGCAGTCATTTTTTGTCATCTTCCTAATGGCTTCAGTAAACCTCTGGAACAAGCTCTAAATGAACAACACAGAATATATAAAAGGATTAAGACTGAAAGTATAGCAATGTGAACATTTCACTTGTCAGTTTGGCTGCTGAACTGAAAAACTGAGCAGGAAGCAGGAATAATTTTTTTTTCCTTCCCAATGAAAAAACGCAGGACTTCTTTGTTGATAAGTAGAATACTGTGTTTCATTTGGATGAAATGCCTAATTTTGATGGTCATGCAAGAAAAGCAAAGGAAAACCCACCCTTCTGAGAGGTTGGATGTCTGACCTGCTACTCTTTCTCTGGCTCAGGAATTTATGCAAAGTGGAACAGGATCAGTATTGAAACCTTTCCTATGATGTTCGTCACTTTTCAAAAAAATGTGCGTGTCAATCTTTTTCAGCCAGAAGGGGGAACTGAATCCTATTTTCATACTTCCAGAACAAGTACTTAACTCCCAGGCCAACAAATGTAAACAGATTATATGAAGAAATATGAAGTAAGCCTACCTTATATTATTCTTTACCCAAAATTATTCAGCAAATTCCATCAAAATACATGAGCAGTTGTAAGTCAGCAAATGATCAGCAGTGAAATAAGAAACAGAAACCACTAATAACAAATCTGGCTAACTTTAATTAGACACCAGAATCCTGAGTTTAAGCTTCTTATTATTGCATGAAAGTATCTTGCTGGACATGAGAGATTTAAAACCATGAACACAGTGACTAATTCAAAGCTTACAAAACATTTAGGAGGAATGCTAAGATTCACACTTTTAGATGAGACTCTTGTCTTTTTACCACACTTGGTATCAGTCTCTATATTCTCCAAGGAAGGTGCATGTTCTCTTTGTTCTGTAATACAGGAAGTTTAGCCACTCCACAGGACTTACTTGTTACAGTTCCCCTAACACTGTCCTGATTTTTCACCTTTCAGTTCTGCAGTTTCTGCAGGCAGCAGAATAGGATCTCATCCAATCCTCTTCTGCTGAGGAAACATACTTTCCTCTTATCATCTGTCTACAATTCCATTTCATATACTCAATCTCAAGAGCAGGAATCTCTTTGATACTGAGAAAATTTGGGGCACTGGGGGCTCTTTGAGGAAAATAAACTGTCTGGAAGCACAAGGGGTTACAATTTTGAGATACTGAAATAGAAGACTGGAAGAGTAGTACTGTGACAACAGCGAGAAGATGGAAATGAACAGAGGTAGAAATTACCAAAAGACATGGAAACTCACCCTTAGTTTCATCCCCAGCTGCTGGCAAATGCTGTGCATGTTCCATTGAGTCCAGAGGAAGAGCTTCTTTTTGTGTACCCTCTCCACCCCTCCTTCCTTTATCCCTTTTGCCATGAAGCTGAGCTATTGGGACACAAACTCATTTTGAGACAGACTTTTACATAATGCTTGTATTAAAAGCTATTTAAATACCACTTAAAACCGGTTTATAGGATAGTTGCAGATGATTCTTGGAAATAACTTCTTTTCAAGGCTGTTGAATTCCCATTGTTAGTGCAGTAAAATTTAAAAACCTTTGAAATATAAAATCAATTGTCCCATTTCTTCCATGCACCAATTGTCTCCTGTTTCAAAGGAATAATTTCAGATGTTTTTCATCTAATGTCTTACTATATTCTCCACCCTTAAGAAAATCTGTCAAGATGAGGCAATTTCAATAGATGCTAAGTACAGCTCTTGTCCTCCAAACAGTAAGTCCTACTGATCACTGTTGAATACTTCAGGATCACTTTACTAATCTCAAAATGTTGTTTGTATAGCCTCCTGTCTCCAGCAAAGACTTACCCAAAAACAAACCGCTCGGACAATCACGCTCTTGGCCTCTTGGTGGTGCCCTGGAAGAAACAGGTGGGTGTTTGCTGTTAGAAGGAGAGAAAAAAAAAAAAAAAAGAAAAAGCAAGCAATTAGATATTTTCCAAGTACCTGTAGATGTGGGGGCTGGTAGACTAATTTAGTTCAGCATTCCCATGCTACAATTACAATACTGAAGGCACAGGCTGATTGTGGCCAAACCCAGGCTGGTTTCCCACATTTAGTGCATTGTTCATTTACTGGCTACATGTTCTCCCACGCTTCAATACAGCTGAATCCATGGACATGCATGTCATAAAAAATCGCTGTATTTGGGTGAGCTTTTCTAGTCAGGATTTATTAGGTTTTCTTCCAAACACCAGAAGCAGCACAGGCAGGGCAGCTGGGGTGCCCCTCAGCCACCTTATGCCTGAAGAACCTCCGTGAAGCAGGGCTGCCAGTTCCCCTGCTTTTGTCATTGCTACAGAAGCAGCTCTGGAATGTTAAACTAATGCCCGATATTCCAAAGGGAGAGTGACAGTGACTGGTCAAACCCAAGGTATATTTTTGTGGCGAAGACGGATCTCTGAGCGTTCCTTAGGCCTCTCTACACAGCGCTGGCCAAGGGGCTCGTTCCCGCCCTGCCCAGCCCCTGCTCTCCCCGGGGGGAAGGCGGGCCCAGCCGGAGGGGCCGGGAGAAGGGCGGGACACCTTTGACGAGACGGCAGCATGAGTGCGGCGCAGGGCCGAGCCCCGGCACAGCCCGCGCCGAACCGGACC